TTTATTTTTATGAAAAATAAAGTAAGCCTGCAAGGCTTCTCACACCAATCAACCTTCCTCTGTATCTCTCATCATCCTTCAGAATACCCGTATAACAACACTTCATCCATAAAACTGTGTGTGTTGGTACCGTGTCTTCCTTGGACTTGCGGTTCCTGCAGAATTTGTTTCTGAGGGACCAGGCGCCCATGCCAAGGCCCACGAGCAGCACGCAGACCGCCGTGACAGGTACCAAGGTGATTGCTATATCTTGGGAAGGCGGTGCCTCGGCAGGTGCAATTTTCGAGCTGAGAGCTGGCCCCTCGACCTCGTTCTCCTCTGTGGCCTGTTGCGGAACACCGGTGGTCCCTGGACTGGCGTCAGCCTCCGCCTGTTTCGCCTCCTCGGGCTGCAGCCTCGTCGTTTTCGGTATGCTCGGGGGCACAGCTACCGGCGACGGTGGTATCCCCAATTTTCGGAACAGTCCCTGTCCAGGAACGACGCCGGACAACAACGGTGGTCTCCTTCTGCCAGCGGAGCTCACCGGGTTCCTGTTCGAGCAAAAATTGTGTATATATATATGTCAGAGTTGAGCCTGATGACGTCGATCATCGAGGAACGGTTGTTTTCGCGTGGATTCGAGGGTATCGTCAACGAACTGGAGCATGAATAATGGAACGGGCCACTGAGAGTCCTGCGAAAGGTCACGCACCGTTCCTCGTGATTTATCGATGAAACTTTCTAGCAGGTTACTCGAGCAGACCCGCAACAAATTCGTCGTCCGAGCATTCGTGGCCACCGAGACGATTTAAGGAAAATCGCGCTTTTCGTAGCAAGAATTGATAACTGGAACCTTTCAGAAATTGTTGCGGACGATTCTTAAACTGTGTTTTAGAATTCAAGGGGAAATCCTGCTCTCGGGCCTTCTATTTTTATACAAATATTTTTCCAATTATGAAATCAATGGATGATCTTGTATAGTTTTAGGTTTGTCATGAGCAGGCTTTTAATGAAAAATTGGCAGAAGAGAACGAAGAAGTTGCTACTTTGAAAATAATAAGATAATTGGACGTTTATAAAAATTTATTGCGACGCGATGACAGCGTGACTCGACAAAATTAACAGAGATTCTTGATAAGCAGAACGCGGGTATCGTTTGCTTATCAAGAATTAAAAAATTCAATAAAGAAGCGATATTATCACCGATGATAATCAGATTTTTATGTAATTAATAGATATCAACTCCTCAACAACAGAGATCGTTGCAATTTTCTCCACGCAGCAAGAGAATGTCTATACTCAATTTTCTTTTTCTTCAAAATCAGACAGGACAATTTCAAATCAGGTCCTCTGCACGTTACACAAATTCAAATTTCTTTTTATTTTGTCTCCTTTAAACGTCAAATTGATACTAATGAATACCTGAAATAACAAAGAATTATATCGAACGTAACTTAATGTTACACAACCAAAGTAAAATATACCATAATAGTGGAATATAATGTAATGTAATGAAACAAGTAATGAAATGAAACGTATGAATAAGTGAAATATAAGATAAGAAGAAATTCAAATGCACGTGAAGGAAAAATCAAGCGACGAAGTTTGGAAACTACTAGTTGTTATATCACCACTGCTTGAGAGAAGCAATTTTCTGAGAGATCGGAATCGGTTCATCGATCGATGCGCGCGGCCAATTTTGTCCTCGGCGAGCAACCTTACCTGGTCCAGTCGGGTTCCTTGGGATTCGAGGTGTTCTGAATAGCGACGTAGACCTCGGTCTTTGTCGTGAGCTGACCGTCAGACACGGTCACGTAAAGGAACAGGTCCTGCCCTCCCTGGAAACAAGAAGCAAGAAAATGTCGCTTAAATCTCTGAACGTCGACCATACGCAGCTTGTGTTACGTTCACGATCCAGGTGAAAAAAGATGACCGTATACGCGTGTGCTTTGCCCTCGTCTAACGATCAGAACTCAGACTATCTAGACTTCAAACGTATCGCAACAATTCACCAAGTCTGTTCGTTGACATACAAATCTATTGAAAATCTGTGAAAATCTATTTGTGCTTTATTGTACAGACGATCTTACGATCAATAATGAAATAATTGATTCACTTGGAGACTCAAAAAAGATAACATATAATATGTAGTGAATTGAGTAAATATAGCATTGATATATACATATATATTTTTTTTTTTTTTTTTTTTTTTGATAAAGTATATCTTGACGAACATGAGAAGAATATATTCTTATTAACTTGTTAGACTTCTGGTAATTTTAGTTCCAAGGTTTAATATTTCATTCAATTTCAAAAGATGTAATGTACAATCGAATAGAATAATAGAAGTTACAAGAATAATAGAATAGCAAAAGATAAGAAAAGTAGAAGATGAATAGAAGATAAAAGAACGATAGAATAATTGAATTCATTTGATCGCGAGCTAACTAAAATTAATAGTTTCTATGAATAAATAAAATTTAATGTACATGTGAATGCTTAAAATATTTAGAATTAAACTTTGACATTTTATTATATTTTGTAAGAGTGAATTGTACGCGTGAAAGCAATATACGTAATACGTAAACGAAATTCACACAAGTAGAGCTTGAAAAAGAAAATAAATATACTATACTGAATTAAATTTAACATTTAGACTCGTCATCAAATTCTTCTCAATCCGTCGTTTCAAATTTTATCGTGAATCGTCTCTTCCTAGCACAAACATGTATCATTATACTTTTCTTTAATTAACCAACCTCGATCGATTCTCGATGAGAACAATGAAACACACCGCGAATAATCGTGCGAAACTTCATCCAACAATTAAACAAGTTTATCTCGGAATAAAATTGTTTAATTCTTTGAATGTTATTTTTCAAGTCCGGTACAGGTAATCTTATAATCGGTAATAAAATAATTGGTTTATTTATTAGAAATTCAAAGAGGATAACAGATAAGCGGATCTTCGTGCAATTTTTTGAAAATATACGCTACGTGAAAAAAAAATAAAAAAAAAATAAAGATCAAACTTAAAATACACATCTGAGTGAGAAGAGCGCAATTTGGATTCACAGGCTTCCCGCTTTGCGCGATACATTCATTATCATAAAAATATAAGTATTCATCGAAAAATATTTTTTTGCGGCCTCACAATTAAAAAAAAAAAAAAACTAAAAATAAAAAATTTGAAGGTCGCACTTCTGCATTTTTCTTTTTTTTTTTTTTTTTTTTGCGTCCTCGAAGATCTCATAAATGCACAAAAAATACACAATCCACGCATTCTCGAACAGATATATGTCAAAATCCAGAATGTTCAAGAACGAATTTCGTTCAACTTTTCGCACTGAATTCCAAGCACTGAGATTGAAATCTCAGAGGCGATGCTGCAATTACACAAGAGAAATTAAAACCTTGTCTTTGAGCGTTTCGTTAACGTAGATAATGCCGGTTCTATTGTCGATGAAGAAAGGGAGCGGCGGTTGCGGGCTGTCGTTTCCGTTGTAGTTGTGCCCAAGAGGTTCCAGGCCATAGGTTAGCTGATCCTGTTCATTGTCCTTGGCACGGGCCCTAGTCACTATATTTCCTACCGGCTCTGTATCCAGAAGCACCAAATTTCGGTCTATCCACATTACCGGCGGTGTATTGTCGCTGAACTGACTTCCTGCAATGCAAATTAATCGCAAGGTGAGCGACTCGTTCGTTTTAGTAGCTGCCGATCAATATCGTGCCGTGCAATTGCACTTGAAGTGAAGTAAATTCGTTGAATAAAGCATTGATTACGGTGTATGCTTCAGATCGAGAAGTTCTACCTCGGAGTTAATTTAGATCGGTACTCCGTAGAATTTCGTTCGCTTATATAAAGGAAATTAATCACAGCTACTAATTGCAAATTGTTAATTGCAGTTATTTGTTACAACTTTCAAATCTTGAATTAATTGTTGTTAGAAGTAAATCATTCGATCGAAATGTGACTTGATGTAAAGTGTACGATATCCTGTATCCAAATTTGCATTAATGTATAAAGTAAATTAATATATAAAATACGTAAAATATGTCGTACAAATAAATATATATAAAATATATATAATACATATTATACATGATGTATAAAGTAAAATTATTAAAATGTACAATACGTATGAATATAACTTTCGAGGGTTAACTTGATTGAATTTAACGCTAGAACATATTTCGCTGAAAAGTCACTCAAGTGTCTAAAAAAAGAAAAAAAGAAAAAAGAAATCGTTGTAAATTAAATAAATATGAAATTTCTATGGAAATATGATTCTTTCGTCTCGTTATTTCTATGGAAATATATTTCTTTTTTTATTTTTACAATAATCAATCTTCAATTGTGAAATTACGAAAAGATTGAAGTTCTTTTACGAAGTACGAGAAGTAACGGCAATTCAAGAGCAGGAAATAAATATTCGGTGCGCAACTCAATCGTTGACGATTAATAAACTGGATTTCCAAACAACCCTTGCGATTCATGGGACTCGGTATTTATTTGTTTCCCCATCGAGACACGAACACGAGCGATTAGTTTGTACAGAAACGAAACGGCTTTCCGCTTGGGCTCTAATTAACTTCGGATTTACTGAACGATAATGAGAGAGAGCCGCGGGTGGCTCGAGAGATCGGCCTTGATATGCATTCCTTCCTGGATTTCGAGTTCATATCGTCAAGTAGAGTGTAACCTTTCATACTGTTGTTGCCAGAGAGCTTGAAGCTCTCCAGATTTTTCGCTCTTTTTTTCTTTTCTTTTATTTTATTTTATTTTTTTTTTTTT